CAGAATCTTGGGGCGAGAACAGTACGCTGGTCGGATCGTACCGCTATGCACTACACGATGGCTGTGATTTGCGAGGTGCAGCGTATCATCAACATCCTGCCGTGGCACATACCACACGCAGCTACATCCAACACCATTCTTCGAGGCCATAACATCCAGAAGGTCACATTATTTCAAAATATTTGTGATTGGGGCGGACGAAGTCTGAAGTTCAGAGTTATTTTAGGGGACTGTGATAATGCCGCAGATTGGTGCCATCAATTTCGACGAGGAACTGTATCTGAATCCGGAATCGTTCCAACCATCACGATTTCTCAATCAAGATGGCATCCTCGTCAACCCTGAACACTTCATCCCGTTCGGGATCGGCAAGCGGTCATGTTTGGGGGAAGCACTTGCGCGCATGGAACTGTTCATTATCGCCACTACTCTCTTGCAAAATTTTGAATTTTCTGCCGCTCGTGGTATGTTGATAGGTTTTTACATCTCAAGTTAAAGTGAGGTCTTAACGAGGGATGGGAAGATAAAAGCGATCTGGAAGACTTATTTTAAAAAATAGAAAATTTTTTAATCTCTTTTTTAAATAAACCAATAACTCTCTTCCATCATCTCTCTCTGGAATGTAGTAGAAATAACTAAGTAGCATATTTTCGATATGGATGCACATATCAAATCATAAAGCAGTGATTATTTATACTGTTAATGTTCTTACTGCCACACCAAATTGCTCAAAAACACATGTTGGAACTGACTACCATGTTGCGCTTTTCTAACTGTTTAATCAAGCAAGGCGCTCGGGAATGAGGGAAATAAAATCAGATGTTTGTTTGTGAGAAATAAATTACTATTTTGCTTCTTATGCGCTTTCGCTGTGCAGCGCTATAGCGCAGCTACAGTGAGCAAAAAAGCACATTGTTGAGAGGTCGTCCGTGTATGTGTGCGTGTGTTTGCGTGTGTGCATGTGTGCGTGTGGGTGTGTGTTTGGAAGCGAATGAAGTCTGTCACCCAGTTTCAGCTTAGCAGCTAGGAAAGCTGGAAGAGTGAAAATTTGAAGGCATAGTCCCATCACAAGTGTCACTCCTCCCTCTTAAAGTTATCGCTTATATGTCCCTAGATCCCGACTGCAGAATCCTAAAAAAATATGCAAGTTTATTTGGCGGGAAACGATTTTGGGAGCCAGGCAAGACAAAAAACTGAAGCCTTGCAGAGATATTCTCTGTGCATGCATGAAGCAAGATTTCAAATTCAGCTATCACGCACGCTTGTACAGCGCGCGCTCAGTCACGTCAAAGTTCACAGTTGGCACTGTGCTAACTCGACACGGAAAACAGTAACTCGAATTTTTCAGAATATTGGCGGTCCATTTAGGGTATCGTATACCTAAACTGAGTTTCGGTTTGCACTTAAGCTATGTCTTAGGGTCAAAGATATTTGTAGCGTAATGATTATTTTGCTTACCGGGCAAGTTGCAAAACTGAAACACCGCAAGGATATTATACGTTTGTGTGCGGTCTTAGCTGCGCTTGGCGATGTACACGAACGTAACAGATGCTCAATTTTATCGCAAATTCAAAAGCGAGTGCATTTAGTGGATTTCATAATTTGCTTACAGCTTCGTTCAAATTCGAGTTTTTCCTATGAACGGCCGAACACCGAAAAAAAGACGGAAACCCAGGCTCCATGCAAACCCAGGCTGGAACGCATCAGGTGAGCCGGTGCGATCGTGCATTTTTGCACCAAACTTGAACTAATTAGGTTAACTGCATGAACGGTTGTTTCTTCACACCTACCTCGTGCACTCAATGCCTTAAATTACCGGAAATTTTGCATAGAAGGAAATAAACAATTTCCGTGTAGCGGTCATTTTTGCGCGTTTCTGCATATATGTAAACTGCAAAAACGCATATTGGGAACAGGCTGTGTGTGTGTGT